GATATTCTTGATTTGTGATGGATTCCTGTTGGAAGGGAACAGGAAAAGTCAGGATAGTATCTGGCCAAGCTGCAAAAGAGACAATAAACGTATGAGTTTGTGTTAGGTGAAGCAGAAAGTATGCACAGCACCGTCACAGATATGTCACCCATCTGACTAAAGCAGATACTGCTGTTTGAGTTTTATAGGTGATGAAGCTGCAAGACATTTGGTAACAAGATTAAGTCTACATAGCTGGTTCATGGTGGAGCCATAGGAGGAGAGCACACATGCCCCTGGCTCTCCTTGCATCCTCCCTCTACACTTCTTGAGGTGTAAGGCATGTGCCAAGCACTTCTTTCCATGCCATTGTTTCCCCAAGAGAAAGGCGCTTTTATCTTTTGTCATCTGCTTGTGATCAACATTACCACTAAGATGTCCATATTTTCTGTTGAAGCAATATGGTAACTTAGGGTTTACATATGAAATGTTGTCTGAAAGACTCACAAAGTTCAGATGAGAAGCCTCTGGAAGGTAATTAGATCACGGGATCACTCTCATCAGTGGATTGATAGTGAACAGAACTATTGATTGATTAATTCACTGTAGTCATTAGGCACTGCGGCCCAGTTGGTTCCTGAGGACATGACTTGGAAGGGAATATTTTTGGCCATACCTCCCCTCTCTGCTTTCTGACTTCCATGAAGTGAACAGTTTTTCTGTGCTATGCCTGTCTACCATGATGTTTCTGGCTTGGAATCAGTTGACCAAGGACTTGACCCTACAAAAATGCGAGGCTTCTCCTCCTTGAAGGGATCAGGTATTTTGTCTCAGAGAAAGGAGAGGGATAGGGCCAGGGATATAGCCAGCATTAGTGCCTATCTGAAAAGCATTAGTGCCTATCTGAAAAGCACTAGCTTGTGAGTTCGATTCCCAGCACCAAAAACAAAACAAAACCCCCAAAACTGTCGACTGGAGAGGGATTAATGCAGCAAGCCCCAGTAAAGGTCAGAAGAAAAATCCCATGGATGCTTCCAGCATACACGATAGATTGTGCCTGCTAATAGGGGACTCTCAATACATGACTTGAATCTTCTGAATCAAATGAAAGCCCTAAATACCTGTTGGGGGAATTAAAACTAGTTATTTCCAGTAATTACAAATTATATCACTCCATTTTACGCATGGATAGTTAAAAAGCCACCACAGGCTATAAAATCATTGGCTAATGAAAAGAACATCCTAAGGTTTTGATTTATTGTCCTTGCTATCGGAGACACCACAAACACTCTTACAAATGTGTAAACAATCTCAGTGAAGGTTTAATGTGCTTTTAGCATGAGCCTCCTTTGTCTGCAGCCTGAGAGATGAAGCTTTGTGCTCCTGTGCATTGTATAATTAAAATCCTTTCACTCAGACTGAAGCAGGGACAGTTATCACCTAATTTATGAAAGAAACAGGAAGAATCTTATGTTGCCAGCAAGAGCCACAGTAGGGGACTCTGGAGAACATGGCGGACAGACAACAGCAACTACTGAACGCTCTCTAAAGGCTCGGCTCTGAGGCCAGGAATGATGCGGACTAAGGAGATACGAACCAGTAGAGATATGCTCTGCTGACTCAGGAACGAACTGAGCTGAGAGAATCCAACTTGGAATACAGTCCTGGCGCTAAAATAGGAACAGAAAAATCTCAGTGCGGAGGCTCGACTCCGCGCCATTGGAAACCGCGGTTTGGATTTCCCGCCGCGCAGCGACCGGCTACCTCCACAGCGGCTCAGCAAGGAGAGACGCGACCCCCGAGCTCTGGGAACGGGCGTCTGGGAACGGTCTCGGAAACGCGACGGGCAGGAAGGAAGGCTGACTGGTGGCGAGGTGAGCGAGGAACTGACTCCCTACCGCAGTTTGACTCCAGCGGAGGATTTTCTGGGCGCGGGCAGTCCTGTAAGAGCAGGGCGCGGTGGCAACTGCAGCCGCGCATTTCTCTCTCGGACGGGATTGGTGAAAGGTGCCTGGCCGGAGGGACGCTGCTCGCGGACTCCCTAGGCTGGCCTAGCCCAGATCCCAGAGCCTGACGGTGGCCCGGAGGAGCGACCGACTTCCGCGTAGGCTGCCTCCTCCGCAACTCCCTGGGGCGCAGCGGTGAGCTGGAACAACTAGCCAGCGCAATTCGATCAAGCTGTAGCTGACAGGCAGGGAAGCCGGGCCTCCTGTGTAAGATTACATTTTATAAGGAACAGAAAATATGGGGAAGGGAAGCAACAAAAAAGGCTCCTCGACCCCCAATCCTGAGAATCAGGCAATAGTGGACACTGTACCAATATACATTAAGCGCCATTTAGAGAGCCTCATAGACCAATTCAGGAATGAAGTTATCAATGACCTGAAGCTAGAAGTATGCAGAATAGTTAGAGAAATGCTAAGCACCACCCAGGAAAAAGCAGATGGTGGAGTGGAAGAACAGAAAAAGAGGGGAGAATTGCTTGATGGAGAAAACAGAGAAAGCATTGAGTATGTGAAGCAGGTGCAAAGGGACTATCAAGAAATCAAGGAGTCTACCCAAGACTGGCATAACAGCTTGAAAGAAACTAAGGACAGACTATCTGAATTGGAGGGCAGACTTGAAACATGGGAGAATGAAATGAAAAACTTCTTAAAAATAACAAAGAAACACACAGCAATAATACAAAGACAAGAAGATGATAAGAGGAGCCATAACTTAAGGATTAAGAACATAAAAGAAGAAGTAGGGACACAAACAAGTGAACTACAAAAGCTACTCACAGAAATAATCCAGGAGAATTTTCCTAATTTAGCAAAAGGTAAAGATACTCAAATATATGAGGCATACAGGACCCCAGCTACCTACAACCCTAACAGAGAAACACCCAGGCATATAATAATAAAAATTCCAGAAATTCAATACAAGAACAGAATATTAAAAGCTGTAAGAGACAAGAAACAGATCACTTACAAGGGAAGACCCATCAAAATTACAGCAGATTTCTCTTCACAAACCATCAAATCACGAAGAGCATGGGGAGAAATAATTCAAGCTTTGAAAGATAATAATCTACAGCCAAGATTGAGATATCCTGCACAACTGTCCCTGGAAATTGATGGAAAAACGAGGTGCTTCCAAGATAAAGAGGAACTGGGGGAATTTGCAACCACCAATTCAACCCTACAGAAAGTATTGCAGGATATTCTAAAAAAAGAAAAATACAAAGAACCCAGAAATAGGGGCGGGGAGGCCACAACGAATAGAGCAGAGAACAAAACGAAGAAGACAAACTGACAGCTACTGACAGAAAAAGAGCTCAACAGAAATGAGACAGAGAAGATTGGATGATAGGAACAGCTTTTTTTGGAGAAAATGACATCTTAATAGGTAATGCTGATTTAGTACCATCTTGTTTTGAAGTCTCATCTAGCTTTTGTTCTTCTGTCTCCAATGGTCTAAACAGGTTGTATCTTATTGGATTTTACTATGTACGATAGTATAAGAAAAAACCTTTTAAAGACAAGGAGATTATGCAGAGACCATTGTTCATTTTCTGTTAGTCGATTCTAAATACTCTATAATGCTGTCATTCTCTTAAATGGATTTACATTGTTTTGATATACTTAATGCTACAGTATATGAAGTTGTACTCAAGGACTTCAGGGAGGGAGTCAATATGGTAACTATTTTTGGGTCAGGATTGGCTGGTGGTGAAACACTATTCTGCTTAAATGGTTATGTTTTGATCTGCCCTGTTTCGCTGTTATGCCCTCTTTTTTTTCTCAATCTCCACTCCATTATTTACTTTTTTATTTTTATCCATTTAATTACAGGGAAAAATATAGCAGGATATAATATAGTAACCCACTTTGACTTTCTATTATCTCGATTTGAAGCCCTGTATTACTCTCACCATCTTGTTTTTGACTGAGGTTCCTATATTCTGTTTTGCTGGATAGTATCAGGTTCGAAAGTTTAGGCATCAGCTGAGAAGATAATGAGATTCATTATAACGCCCATTCTCGTTGACTTTTATCTACTTTTGAAGACCTACAATGTCTCCAATGTTTTGGTTTTGTCGGTTTTATTCTTTACGGTTTTGTTCAATTGTATTACAACTAATGATATAGGCAATTCTATTAGAAATAGCGGGAGGCATTAGGGTAACCATTGTTGATCACCTTGTATTATGTTTTTATATTATCTATTATGTCCACCCTTTTGACTTGACCGATTCTGTTCTGTTATGTCACATTTGGTTTTACTCTCTTCCAAAAAAGCAACAAGAACCGTGGGAGCAATGAAATCCAAAATGTGTAATAGTCACTGTACAAAAGAGAGGAAAAGAAAGTGCTCTAAACTATATAACTGCATGTATATTTAAAAGTATAAGATAGAAAATGATATCGCAGAGTTTTATTGGATCATTGAACAGAACTGTTTGCAGTATCATTGGTGGAATGTCCACTCTACAAGCTTTAATTTTGTGACTTGAACAATTATTTCTAAGAAGTGTTGGGAGCTCGACCGAGTGATATGAGGCCTGTGGTGAGGAGTGAAGCCTGAGCTAGATTGCCCCTCCCATCGACCGAGTGATATGAGGCCTGTGGTGAGGAGTGAAGCCTGAGCTAGATTACCCCTCCCATCGAGTATGCCAAGATGGCGCCCATTTCCTGCTCCCTAGCTAGTAAACAACACGCCCTGTAAGCTAGTCTGCCCAGCAACAGCTGACGCTGGCCAATCAGCTCGTCTTGCCTACTTTGATGTGATTGGTCGATGTGTCCATATATATGCTGACACCACCCCTGGGGAAAAAACACACACCAAGAAGAGGGACTGCTGAGAGAAGCACACAAGGAGCCGTAGGGAACGGACCAGAGGAGGCTTCCCTCAGGCGGGATCCGAGATCCCGGAACAGGGCGTACGGAGAGAGAAAATAAACCAGAGGCTATCCGCCGACTACTCGCGTCGTGTGTTTTTTCCTGCCGGCCGGGATCGACACCGCCAGTTGGTGGCCCGTACGGGGAACTGATCACCCCCGAGGCGAGGCGGACGACGCTCCAGTATTGCTCTGCAGGACAGGTGAGTAGGGGATAAACCTGGGCTCTGGGTGGCGCGCACCTACAGGGCTTTTTAGACTCCCCTCAAGCTCACGTGTATGTGGCAGGTTAGCCTCACACGGTGAGAACGGACTCCTCAGTGACAGGCATGGGCAACTTACCCACTAAGAGTTCCAAGTCACTGGTAAGAGCGGTGAAAGACCTGCTCAAGATTTCAGGTATATCAATGAGCTCCAAGACACTTACGGAGTTTCTCCAACAAGTAGATGAGGCGGCACCCTGGTTCCTGCCGACGGGGCACTTGTCCCTACCTTGCTGGGAGAAATTAGGTAAGGATTTAGAAAGAGCAGAAGAGGAGCGCCGACTCCCACTTTCGGTTCGGCCGCTCTGGGAGATGATTCATTCATGCCTCAAAGGGGAGAGGAATGGGGCTAAGGATAGCGCAGATGGGCTCTCTCAGGCCCGCCGAGCTTTTGAAGGGGCCCGTTCGGAGTCCTCCCGAGAGGGGTCCGTCGCAGGGAGCGTGCGGAGGCGCTCGCGAGAGCGAGGCAAGAGAGAGGTACCCCCTGCCTCGGATTCCTCGGGCTCAGATACCTCGGAAGGCGAGGACAATGAGGCAAGTGACCCCCCTAATCCCTTTGCAGCTTTACGTAGAGACCTAGTCAAGATGCAGACAGACCTAGAGAAGGGAAGGAAACTCCTGAGCACTCCCCAACGGAAAGCCGTAGAGCCTTCCGCGCCACCCTGGGAGGTCCCAAACACCGGTTCCTGTGGTGAGATGGCGGCCTGGGGCCATCCTCCGTCACCCCCCCATGGAGGGAGTGGCCTGGACCGTTGTCACATGTAGGGCCACCATCTTGTCTGCCTGGCGACCCGCCATCTTGTGCCCCAAAGACTGGTCGGCCATGTTACAAAGAGATACAATTTTGTGATAGGGAGGGACAGACATCTCATGGGGAGGCACCACCCTGTGAAAAAATGCCAAGGTCCCAGGGAAGGTATTTTCGTAGATGGACATTTAGAATGGAACAGATTCCTCAAGGGGCGAATGAGTATGAACAATGTGGGCTTTATCCGGTGCTCCTAGCGCAAGGCCAAGGACCCAATTACTGGGAACCACTGGAGATCAAGCAAATTAAGGAGCTTAAAAATGCGGTTGCCACATTTGGCCCTACTGCTCCTTACACTATAACTATGTTGGAGAATTTGTCTGCCGGTGGCTTTCTGACGCCCAGTGATTGGACCCAACTGGCTAAAGCCTGCCTGGCCCCCGGGGCTTTTCTGGATTGGCGCGCCTGGTATACTGAGTTTGCCGCCGAACAGGCTGAAAAAAATGCGGCTAGGGGCCATAGGGGGCAAAATGAGGATATGCTTATGGGTAAGGGTCAGTACGCTCAAGATCAAACTAGATTCCCTCCAAATGTGTATGAACAGATACATAACATAGGCATCCGCGCCTGGAAGCAGGTAAACAACACAGGGGTGGCCTCACAATGCCTCTCTAAAATTGTTCAGGGCAACACAGAACCTTTTGTGGATTTTGTGGCCAGAATGCAGGAGGCAGCTGACAGACTCTTTTCAGATCCGAGTGCTGCTGCTCCTCTTATTAAACAGTTAATCTTCGAACAGTGCACCAAGGACTGCAGGGCAGCCATAGCACCCCATAAAGGTAAAAACATAGAGGCTTGGATTAAAATTTGTAGAGAAATAGGGGGGCCATTATCCAACTCAGGCGTGGCTGCCCTTTTAGCCGCCGCCTTACAACAGACAGGGCCTCAGAAGACCAATCACCCTGGTAAGCCCAGGGGATGTTTCCAGTGTGGGGATCCCAGCCATATAAGGAAAAACTGCCCCAAGACCGGACAGGGGGAGTTTATATCCAAGAGACAGGAATCAGACAGACGAACGGGAACCTGCGAAAGGTGCGGTAAAGGTTCTCACAAAGCAAAAGATTGCAGATCTATTTTTGATGCCCAGGGGAACCGTATTAGTGGCAGGGAGACTACGGAGCCAAAAAACGGCCAGAGGGGGCCCTCCTTACGGACGGGCCCCCACTCCCTAGACAGGACAACACAAGATGGCACCCCCCCACAGGGGCCACCCCCGGGCCAGCAGGCGTGGACCTCTGTGTCGCCTCCAGACTCCTATTAACACCCGATATGGGCGTTCAGGTGGTTGAAACCACCTCCAAAGGACCACTACCCGACAAGCTAGTTGGTTTAGTGATTGGACAGTCCTCCACAGCCCTCCGGGGCCTTACCGTGATCCCTGGAGTTGTAGACCCAGATTATTTAGGAAACATCAAAATCATGGTACAATCTCATATAGGGACCATAGTAATTGATGAAGGGGATAAGATAGCACAACTTTTACTGTTCCCCAGTCTCCATGAGAGACCCCGGTCCGGTCAACGGGTTAGAGGGGGTCAGGGACTTGGCTCCTCTAAGGAAATTTTTGAAGGACTTCATATGACTCTTGATAAAAGGCCCATGCTATCGCTCAGGATTAACGGAAAAAAGATAACAGGACTCCTAGATACAGGGGCAGACCGTTCCATCGTCTCCAAGAAAGACTGGCCTCCTAGTTGGCCTACCAACACAGCTGACAACACACTCCAAGGATTGGGGATAGTGGCTGCCCCCCAGGTTAGTGCCGTGACCCTGCCTTGGGGTGATGAGGAAGGTCACCGAGGACATTTTCAACCTTTTGTTTTGCAGCTGCCAGTATCCTTGTGGGGAAGAGACGTTCTCACCCAGATGGATGTCACTCTTACATCCACCTGCTCTCCCCAAGCCAAAGGGATACTCAAAAATCAGGGATATGTCCCCGGCAAGGGCCTGGGCGCAGCCCTGCAGGGCCGGACATCCCCCGTACCTGTAGAAAAAAGGGAAGGTAGACACGGGTTGGGTTTTTCCTAGGGGTCACTGAGAAACTTCTCCTGCCCGCTCCAATTAAGATTACCTGGAAATCTCAAAATCCAGTTTGGGTGCCTCAGTGGCCCTTACCCAAGGAGAAGCTTTTAGCATTAACTGAGATAGTCAAAACCCAGTTTCAGGCGGGACACGTAAAGCCGTCAACCTCCCCTTGGAATACCCCTGTCTTTGTTATCAGGAAGAAATCAGGCAAGTGGAGGCTGCTCCATGATCTGAGGGCTGTCAACTCACAGATGCAGCCCCTGGGGGCGATCCAGAGGGGACTACCAGCCCTCTCAGCCATCCCTCGGTCCTGGTCAGTCTATGCCATAGATCTTAGAGACTGTTTTTTCTCAATCCCCCTGCATCCAGAGGACACCCACAGATTCGCCTTTACCCTACCCACCATTAACCAAGAGAGTCCTGATCAGAGGTACGAGTGGGTTACATTACCCCAGGGTATGGCCAACAGTCCCACCATGTGTCAGATGTATCTTGATTTTCTACTGGCCCCCTTGCGTGAAGCCTTCCCCAGAATTAGATGTATTCATTACATGGATGATTTGCTAATCAGTGCAAAAGATGTGACTGAGTTGGAGGATATGCTTGGCCAATTGGTCAGGGCCCTGAGAAAGGCAAATTTACATATTGCCCCTGACAAGATTCAGGGAGGAGACATAGTGACCTACCTGGGCACCAAAGTCTCCCCCACATCGATTTCCCCACAAAAGGTAACCATCAGAACAGATAGCCTAAGGACCTTGAATGACATACAAAAGCTACTGGGAGATATAAACTGGATCAGACCTTATTTACACATCCCTAACTCGGACTTAAAGCCCCTGTTCGACCTCCTGAAAGGAGACCCGGATATTGCCTCCCCCAGGGAGTTCACCCCGGAAGCCAGAGTTGCTCTGAGAAAGATAGAGGAAGCCCTAAGTACAGCTGCATTGCGGAGAATTGACTCAGAACAGCCTTTTGAGGTCTGCTTGTTGCAGACCGTTTCTCAACCTACGGCAGTGATTTGGCAAAAGGGACCACTTTTGTGGGTGCACCCTAAGGTCTCACCTGCCAAGATTATCGAACATTATCCGGAAACGGTCGCTTCCCTGGCCTTGGAGGCACATGGCAGGGCTATCCAACATTTTGGCTCTGCACCCCATGCTATTCGGGTACCTTATACCGCTTCTCAAATAAAAATCCTGACTGCTTGTATAGATACGTGGGCCATCCTGAGATGTGTTTTTCTTGGGGAGATAGACAACCAGTTCCCCAGGGACCCCATACTACAGTTTGTTACTCAACATCCGGTGATATTTCCAAAAATCACCGCGTCCACACCACTTACTCCTGCAACAACGATCTATACGGACGGGTCAAAAACCGGGATAGGGGCCTATGTGGTCTCAGGTATGCCTCCGATCAGCATACAATTTGAACCAGATCAACCACAGGTGGTAGAGTTACAAATTGTACAAACCGTCCTCGAGAAGTTCCCAGGGGCCCTTAATATTGTTTCTGATTCAAAATACGTTGTTAATGCCATGCAGGTCCTTGAGACTGCGGGCCCGATTAAGCCAACCTCCAAAGTGACTAATTTGTTTTTGTCTATCCAGACTCTGCTGATAAATAGACACAACAAAATATACATCACTCACATAAGAGCACATACGCGCCTGCCAGGGCCCATGGTACAGGGCAATGCGGCAGCTGACGTGGCCACTCGCCCGTTGTGGATACTCAATATGTTATCTTCAATAGAACAAGCCCGTCTGTTTCATGACAGATTTCATGTCAACGCCAGGACGTTAGCCAACCAGTACCACATTTCCAGGGCTGACGCGCGGGACATCGTACGGTTATGCGGCTCTTGCGCCACATACACACCCGTCGTATCAACGGGAGTTAACCCCAGGGGATTGATTCCTGGCGACACTTGGCAAATGGATGTCACACATATGATAGAATTCGGATCTCTTAAATATGTTCATGTCTCTACGGACACCTGCTCTCATATTATATTTGCGACTGCTGAAACTGGCGAAAAGGTGTCTCATGTAATCAATCATTGCCTGACAGCTTGGGCCGCATGGGACAAACCAAAAATATTAAAAACTGATAATGGACCAGCTTATACAAGCAGAGCCTTTAATGAGTTCTGTGAAAAAATGGGGGTACAGTTAAAACATGGCATCCCATACAATCCCCAAGGTCAAGGAATTATTGAAAGGGCTCATAGGAGCCTTAAAGATATTCTACAAAAACAAAAAGGGGGAATAAGTCAGGGCCTGCCCCCAAAGGCACGGCTCTCCATGGCACTGTTCACATACAATTTTCTGAACCTGAATAACAACAATCACTCCCCGGCCATGGAACATTGTAATCCATCTCCTGGCAATAGGGGATGGGTGAAATGGAAAGATGTCCTGACGGGACAATGGATGGGCCCGGATCCAGTAGTTAGCTGGAACCGAGGTGCGGTTTGTGTTTTCCCGCAGGAACCAGGACGAGAACCATTGTGGGTCCCAGAACGGCTGACGCGCGTGGCGAATCCAACGAAACATAATGCAGGAGACACTCCAAAACTCAACGGCAGCGGACAGCCTAATCAAGATCGGTCCGACCAGGATATTGCTGCTCGACCGAGGAATACCGTATGACTTATGGGACACAGTAATGATTATGCTCTCGATAGTAATTGGCTCTCTTTTAGGGTACGGTGCAGCCAGAGTGGCTAGGCCACGCTGCCTTCCGGCAGCCCCCTTCCTTCTGGTTTTGATGCTCACCACCACTACTGAAATAGGAGCAGACTTGGTGTGGGCAGCAATACATCATCCGCCAGCGCTAGCCGCTATCTCCACCACAGCCCCCTCTCTCCCAAAGTTGTATGCAAAAAACTGCTCCGCCAGATTGCCTTGCATACCAGATACACCGTTAACCATCAGACCCATACGTTTTGACCTTCCCATCACCAATGACGTGGTCATTTTTTCCACTAATAGTAACCCCTCGTGTCACCGGGGATCCTGCGTTAGCTTCCTGCCCCTCCTTGTAAAATGGTACAATACCTCCCTGACGGTGAGGTTGTCTGTCCCATCCCTGCATTCGCCTGGATGTTTTAAAGCTGGCACACTTAGCGGCGGAGTCATCACTTTTAACTCAACCTGCAAACCCCGAGCAGCCATGCACACCCGTCCCGATTTCCCCACATGCCCATACCGTGTGTCCCCAAGCCGAAAAAGACAGATGGTGGACCTGTCACAACTTTCATGGCAGCCCTGTACTGTCGACGGCGTGGGAGTGACTCATCTAAACATGTCTTGGTGGTCCCGGTTCTCTCCTCCATCCGGTAGTAACAACATATTCGCGTTGACCTGGTGGGAGTCCTACCTGAGAGTGAACAACAAGTGGGCAATAAGCTTCCCCTTCCCCCTTAATGAAAATTGGTTGTGCCTCTCCACCGGAGCCTGCATGGACTTAAGACCCATGCTCGCTATTAACGCTTCTGCCTCTAATGGAACCACCAATGTCACCCTTAATTCTGAGGCTGCATGCGTAAAACCGCCCTACTTATGGGTATTCTCTGCTGACATCTCCTTTAAGTGCAGTAACCAACCATGCTTTACAGGGAACTGCTGGAATGGGTCTTTCCCGTATGCTATGTTGGCTCTTCGACCCCCACTGATGTGGGTTCCCTTTAACGAATCTGTTTGGGTTCATCCCGTCTATCAGCAGGACCAACTACCCATGCTCAGACGTAAGAGAGATTTTGGGATCACAGCGGCCCTGACAGCACTGTTCGTGACTCTGACTGCGACGGCTGTGACGGCTGCCGTTGCTCTGACCCAGTCTACGCTGATGGCTCAGGCCTTTACCAATCTTACAGACACCACCTCCCTGGCGCTGAGGGAGCAACAAGAAGTCAACCTACTCCAGCACAACGCCATAATGGCGTTACAGCAGCAGATCGACCTAATCGCTCAGGAAGTCCAGGGACTCTGGGAGGTGGCTAACAATTTATGTGACGCCAGATGGGCATTCACCCAGTTGTGCGTTACCCCCATCCAGGTCAACCGTTCGGCTTACAGGCAATTTCAGGATTATGTTCTCACCACCTATAATTCTTCCTTTTGGAACGCTAGCGTGCGCCTGGATATGACTATCCGGCAGCTAGATCAGATAGAGGTGCCTATACTTACAGCCTCCTTTTTTGATGATGTCCTAAGCCAGATAGGCTCCTTCTTCAAACCTTCGTCACTTCTTGCGTATGGGATCATTCTTGCTCTTGTGATTGTCACTCTCGTGACTCTTAGGTGCCTGCGGTCGATAAGGGCGACCCAAAAGACACATATGACATTGATGATGTTGCTGGCCCAGAGTCAAGGGGATTCCACACCTAGCGTTTTCTGGGCTCAGGCTAGAAAGGCACGGCTCCTTTAACCAGTACGTGGCTGCCCTCGCCATTATTCTTACGGATGTTCTAGTATTATTACGTACGTCTCCTTCCCCGTCGCGGCTGCGAACTTAGACTAGAAGGACCCCACGCTTAAGGCGTGTTCCCATTGATAATTAGAAAATAGTAATTAGTGATTGTAGTGAACGGGGATTATGGTTGGTAATTAGTGATTACGCGGTTCCTCAAATGTCACTCGGCTGACCCCTCCGTGTCTCCCCCAAGATATAAGCTTTAAGAGTTGAGTGGGCAAGCCAACGACGGGTAAGACGGGAGAAGTTCTCCTGATCAACCTAAGACAGGCTCTACTCCGAGGGTCCTCTAGGGAGTAAGAGTTATGGCATTGAGATGCGAGACCAAGGGTACTGCAGTGCCATCCGCCTCGAGGGTTGAGGGGAAGGCAGGAATGAATGTCTATATGCATCCAGGTTCGGTTCACAAAAGCCTGGCCCTGCGAAAAAATGAACCACTCACCTTGAGCATGGTCCTGGCGCAAGGATATGTACGAGACAAGGTGATGCACAGCAGGGTATAGACCTCTACATTCTCTCATGCCTCGGCCTGCGAAATAGGCCCACTCCCAGACACCTCACATGGACCCACAGACCACACTATCTTAATAAATAAAGAAGGGGGAGATGTTGGGAGCTCGACCGAGTGATATGAGGCCTGTGGTGAGGAGTGAAGCCTGAGCTAGATTGCCCCTCCCATCGACCGAGTGATATGAGGCCTGTGGTGAGGAGTGAAGCCTGAGCTAGATTACCCCTCCCATCGAGTATGCCAAGATGGCGCCCATTTCCTGCTCCCTAGCTAGTAAACAACACGCCCTGTAAGCTAGTCTGCCCAGCAACAGCTGACGCTGGCCAATCAGCTCGTCTTGCCTACTTTGATGTGATTGGTCGATGTGTCCATATATATGCTGACACCACCCCTGGGGAAAAAACACACACCAAGAAGAGGGACTGCTGAGAGAAGCACACAAGGAGCCGTAGGGAACGGACCAGAGGAGGCTTCCCTCAGGCGGGATCCGAGATCCCGGAACAGGGCGTACGGAGAGAGAAAATAAACCAGAGGCTATCCGCCGACTACTCGCGTCGTGTGTTTTTTCCTGCCGGCCGGGATCGACACCGACAAAGAAGGCAATATGTAATCCATTAACTAGTGATTTCCTACTGTGCATTTTTTTATTCTGTAAATCTGTATAACTTGTACCCCTTCACTGTTTTTTTTTTCTTTCTTTTCTTTTCTCCTTAAATAAAAATTAAAAAAAAAAAAGAGCCACAGTAGGAATTCTGATTTAGATGTGGACATTATGAATTGTCACTGTGACTTCAGAGGTCAACTTCTCAGATACAAAGCCTTCGAGAGGCTGGGTCTATGTGATAATAACCAGATGATAGTGAACAGATCTAGCTACCAGTTTTGCTTTCAATTACCTTCTTTTTTGCCTGAGAGAGCTCTGAGTTTTCTTCAGGTATGGATTGGGGGATAAAAACAAGATGTCTATGAACCTAGGACCTGACATCAATTAACACATTGTGCAACAGAAAGATGCAGATTTATAACATCTTCCTCCCTCGAAAGCTTTTGTTTGCACAACTGGTTAGAGATGAGATACAGCAGCTCCAATATATTTTGAAAGTTTGAAACAATCTAGTAACAAAAACTAGTAACATCCCAGGAGTCAAAAATCTGTTTGTGCTGTACTTCCAGGAAAAGATCCTTGAAGATCAACTACACAGCCTCATGAGTAAATTATTTTTATTCTCCATATACTTCTACATGCTACCTTATTATGGCTAGAACTGATTGTCTGAAGCTCCATACCTGAGCAAGTAGTCAGTTCTATGCAGTGAGTAAACTGATACCTAGAAAATACTTTGACTTTCCACAGTGAGATTGACTTTCCACAGTGCCTGGGCTGCTCCTCTCAGTGCTCCAAATTAGGTAGTAAGAATTTAAATGCATAGGGCTGCTATAAGCAATTCTTTTCAGCCTAGAAGATTTTTTTCACCTAATAAATGCCTTTGTATTTGAGCAGTTTTCACTGTTATTAGGGATGACTCCTACTTTCCAAAGGGATCAGTAATTCTATCCTCATAGACTCGTTGTCATTCCCAGTCATTGCCAGGGCCCATCCTACCTGCTGGCTGCACACTGCAACTACTCACAGGTCCTGGTAAGGACCAGGCACAGATGTAGTGCCTGATCAGTCTCCTTACGGAGAACAGATATTATGATCACTTCTCTCACTCTGCTCTTTGTGATTCATGCACTCTTTTCTCTATCTATAAGTTACAAATCAGTATGAATTTACCTAGGAAGCAGGCCTGTTAATAATACGCTATTCAAAAAGATGTTTAAATAATACAGGATAAGAAAGGATAAAATTACAGGAGTAATTTCGCATTATTGAGTCAGAAGTGAAAAAAATTACCCCAGTATAAATGACCTACCGTCTCAAAGAGTGGTATCTTTCTTTCATTATGTGAAAACCAATCACTTCCTGAAGTTAAGTCACAGAGCATCTCAAATGACTACCAAAACTGATGACTGAAATAGCCAACTAACAGCCCATCTGAACAAAGCAGGAGATCCTTGGTAGCCTTTCCTTCCTCTTATTTCTTCCAAAGTTTATAGGACATAGGTCTGTAGCTACAACAAATTGTACATAAGTGAAAACAGAAAGTTGATATAGTCTTTGACTGGAGAGAACCTATGAAATCCAGGTATGGCCAAGAAGAAAGCACAAGAAGAAAACAATCCAGCTATTCTGTTCTTTGATGATTAAGGAACAAAATCAGACACTGGGCTCTTCAGTGCCAGACTATAGTTGTCCAGCTGGTCTTGAATGGAACCCAGAAGGGTCACTGGTGTGTACAAGCATAGGGCTATTTGTGCTAGCACAGGTGATTGGATTTCAGAATCATGCAATCCACTCTCCAATATATAGCTAATGGTTCATTAATTGGTAAAACCCTAGCAATCAAGATTTCTTTTTGGTTCAGAGGCACTAAGGAATTAAGAAAGAATAAAGTGAACATTGAAGCATTCAGCCATTTCTGGAGTTTCAACTTTGGGATACTACACTAGAGCTAGTCTGTGAAGGGAAATCCAAATTCATAAAATTAACCAGATATCAACCCTAAAAATTATTACAATGTCACAACAACATTTTCAGTGGAAAACATGTACTCTTCTAAATTCTTAAAAAGTGTACTCTTCTCAGTAAGCATTTTCAATATGTACTAACATTAGAGCCTTGAATGCAGAAATATAGGTAGTCAGGTTCGTAAACATGATGCACTAGCTTAGAGGTGGTATCTGTCTCAGAATCATTACTTGCTTGCAGCATGGAAAGGCTTACAATGGGAGAAAGTTCATCCAAGAATATGAAACACAAATCTTTGATAAGTTGGAAGAATGACAAATGTCCATTCATTCAGGAGATAAAAAGTTCCAATGCTTTTTCAAAGCCCCATTACCAAACACTGGGTGCCAAAGAAAGAAAATAAAGTGGTAAGTCATATTCAGTCAAACAGTGTGCTCTGTTAAGGGTTCTTAAACTGTCTTACATAATAATCAATTGGTTCCTGGCTGAGGGGATGCCATGGTTTAAGTCAGTGGCCCCCAAGCCTCCTGCAATTATGCATTTGTGATTGGTTCATTGTCTAGCACTCAGATTGGTGGTGTGAGTGCTACACCGCCTAGGGGTGGAACCGGGATGTGATGTAATGGCTGGAAGAAGGCTTGTCTCTCTCTCTTGCAGTTGGCACCTTGCTGTTTGCAGCCGCCATGAACTGCAGCCCCATGATGCCACCCTGCTTTGGAGCCAACTGAGTATGGATTGAATCCTCCAAGAAGTGTAAGAAATAAATCTTTCCTTCCTCGACTTTGGGCATCAGGTATTTTTGTCTTAGAAATGAGTAAAAAGTAACTAAGACAGGGGAGAAGTTGAACTTGGGGGGTAGAAATTAGGTGGCCCCAGGTATGCACAGCAGGTCTTCTGTAGGCAGAAGCTGAGCAGTGATCATGCCAAGCTGACCAGCTTCCAGTAAAGATCTGACCCAGAAATGTTAGTTTTTTTACAAAGTTTGGTGTTTTGGTCATTTGTGTCTTTCTTGTGAAGATCAAGTAAAACTACATATAAGATGATGGAATATTGCTTCCTTTTTATATAAACAATTAGTGAGTTACAAGCATCTAAGTGATTTTGAATCCTCTAGAAAGCATTTACTTATTATTTAACAGAGCCCTTTTGCTTTTCAGCATCTTTTGAAGCAATATTTATAATTTTGTGTACCACATGACAATATCACTGACATCTCTCTTTTGGTTGACTAGTAATAAGTCAGTTGATACCTGGGACAAGTTGAGGGAACAATCAATATCATTTCTTGAAATCACATTAGGCTATTTTGAAGAAGTTTCAATCCAAAGCACATAAGTGCTTCTTCAATGTTTCTGGAAGATGGCACATTTTTAGGTGTAAGATCAGGTCTAAATTTTCTCTAAGCTTTCTCTTTAATGTCTGACTTCCAAATTTTTTCATCAATGATCCCTGCCTATATTTCAATCTTATTTCTCAAGTAGCACAAACTCACCCTAGATTTAAATGTGGCACACTGCTGACAGTTCCACACCCAGAATAGCTACTACATTTTCTGCACAGTATGTGCTCGCTCTGAAGTAAACTTGTGTCCTGCCCATCCTTGATTCAGCCCAGACATCCCCCCCAATACAGGCTCTTTTGATCCTCAGTAGGCCCATCTAGGTATCTTGCCTGGATGCTGCCCGAGCAGCACACATTTACATGGCTGTCATCTGCCAGTGTTAGCTTACTTACTGTCTGTCCAAAACATGAGCTCTCTGGACACTTAGTCTCCCTTCCATTCCAGGTTGCCAGTGGAAATATGAAAGCAGCTATGTATGTATTCTGAAATTTTTCAGGAGCAATATTATAAAAGGTAAATAGAAAGAAGTAAAATTAATTTTAATAACATGTATAAATCTCAATGCAATGAATAATGAATAATCTAAAAATATTACTCGATCAAGATGTAACTGATATAAAAAACTTACAGTTTATAACAAAAAATTCTACTTTCTTTTTCTTGAAAGGATGCTAATCCTTCAAAATCTGGTGTGTATTTTACACACAGAACATATGTCATCTTAGACTATTCACAATGGAGAGCACAATAGACATATGTGCCAGTAGCCTCCAGATTGGACTGCACATTTGTATTTCATTAGTTTGCAGTTCTAGTGCTGTATTGAAACCAAATAGTTAATTAATGTTGCATAAATGAGACTAAGACATAAGCAATATTTAGTATTTCATCTTTAATGCAATATGGTTAAAGTTTCCCTGCAAGGTAATGTTAGATAATTGTGAAATTAAATCTTTTACTCTGGATTTTTCATAATTCTTTGGTGCATAGATTTAACCATGTTTCATCATCAAATAACAGTATGACTAGTAATCTTACTGGCCTGAGCCTGCATCTTTGAGATTTTGAAAGAAAAAAGATTTTCTTATAACTAATGTACTTTTCAGGGTCCATAGTTTGCCATGAGGTACAGAGATATGTATATTTCAATCCTAATTTGCTTGCTTTCTTTTTCTTTTTAAAGTGTCTTTTTATGTAGTCATCACTGTCCTCACCCTCTTTATCCTTTCTACTTTCTCTGTTTGCTCTTTTTTCAACTTCTGTATCCCCAACATGCAGAACTCTGGGCAAGAATACAAAAGGAGCCCCCATATACAGTTCCATCTTAAATATTTAAAGGTATAAATCACAGTAACTATTAAATAAGACAAATTATTCTTCTCCCATTGATAAAGATACATTCAAAATATCAGAAATCTAAAATATATGTAAAGTAAGTGTTTTAGTATGTTATTTTAGTAAGTTAATATTCAAAAGAATAATACATTTAAAAATAGTTTGGTGGGAATGTAAACTAGCAAAGAAACTGTATATGGAATCTTTAAAAAACTGAAAAAAATTATCATATTATCCAGTAATCTTGTTATTGAATCTTTACCCAAAAGATTTGAAATCAAAGAGATGTCTACCAT